TTATTGAAATTGATTTTCTTCAACAATATTAATGAGTCGCAAATAACGTTATCCTATCTCTGAATGCTTCTGTTTTTCTGTCTTCTATTCTATCTACTTAATAGCAACAATTATGTCTTTAATAATTAAAACATACTATGTTTACCGCTCCGCAATACAATTTGAAAAAATGAAAATATTCAATACTCGAGAAGACTCGGTTATTTCTCAAGATTCATTTTAAACAACTAAAAAGCCACGCTATTCTTGACAACGGCAACATTTTTCTCATTTCCAGAACTAAAGCTAGAACTAGAGAATGTTAACGACAGAAGCCACATGTGCAAAACGAAACAAGTACTCTTCCATTTGTTAAGACCATAAATCACGTAATACGAAAATGACTATATATAAAATCGAGACGCACTTAAATGTTATTGTCGTTACTCTAAAATCCTGCGAATTCCGACGTTAAATTTCGCAACGAAAATACATAAAACTGCCACAGCGAGTTGGTTAGATTTTGAATTATTGAAACGCCGGTTCTCTCCGCCTAATATATTTTTCATGACATTTGTTTTGCGACAATATTGCGTCGAACAGGTCGCAGCGGTTTTCTATCGCCGCGAGAGCTTTCGGCGTTTCAGCGTTATCAATTATTCGGGACGCTATCAGTTCTGTTTCTTTCTATCTTACTGGCAACAACATCCCGGTAAACGGCGGAGGGCGGCTCGCTTCTCGGAAATAAGAGACGTAAACAATTTGCGGGGGAAAATGCGGCGTAGCTTGGCTCGCGCGCACGCCAGGGAATATCGGGTCGTTTATTTCCCCGTCCTGTGAACCATCTAGCCTAAGATAATAGTTCGCTGACCGCGAATAACAATTTATATGGAACGTTCTTTCGGGGTCACGGAATTGCAGGAGGCGTCTAGTCTGCGCCGCAATTACCGCGTTCGATAGTCGAGACGTCCCTTGCTGACATTTATCAAGATCCGTTCTAGACTTGTCACTAAAAAGCTGGCCCGAAGAGTAGATAGTACATTTCATTAACCCGAGAAAGATAACCTACGTCGCAGAGGCGCCTGCGAAGACTGTTGATTTTTGTTAATTTTTCATAGAGGTCTAGTGATTTAAGTTTAAAATTACTTAAAATATAAAAAAATATAATATAAATGCATTTTATTTTTACAATAATGCCAAACCTTTAAAATGACTAGATTAACTTAAATAAATATCCATTGTTAGTATAAAATTGACGCCTTAGAAAAGCATGCGCCTCTGAAGCGTATGGTTATCTTTTACGTACGTTGTCATATGGTTATCTTTCTAGGGTTAACGAAGCCATGGCATAGTCGTGGAATGCTTCCATTTTTCTGAGAATTATATCTAATTTATCGAATATACCAATAATTTTTCTTAAAATCATTAGAGCAATTACGGGTTAAAACCTCACATCGCTTTCATCGTAATTTGCAGAGTGGTAAGTGAATCTGCTGAAAAGAGTTCGACGTGGATAAAAAAACTGTTGGATCATCGGCAATGCACTTTATAATGTAGCGATCGACACCTGATCCTCTACGGAGGACACACTCGCCCGAGTGTTACATTTTTCCATGATAAAGTTAAGTGCGGGTATCGTAAAAATGTATAATGAGATATGTTAAATAGTAAAATGTTTAAAGAAGAAATCAATATGGTACGAACTCAGAATCGAATAATCAACAAACATGAAAGCCGAAATTGTGAATCCTTGTTACGTAAAGTGGAACGTGGAATGCGCTAAAGTTTCACGTAACGCAGTTTGACAAACGAAATTCTACTACCGCGTCATTGAAACCTAAACTCTGCCCTACGATTATCCGTTTCGCAAGGATTAATATAACTCTTCCGATTCCAGCAACTAATTGTGAAACACGTCATTGCCTGCTTTCATAGCCCCGCGGTCCGATAGTCATCGACTTCGACAATCAAAAGCGCATAATCGACTCGAAAAAAGATCACGCGATCAGAAATATCGCTGATATTAATGTCTCGTCCTTAAGGACCAGATGTTCATCGTCGACGTAGATTTTCGTCCTAATGTATTTACCAANGAAGACTGTTGATTTTTGTTAATTTTTCATAGAGGTCTAGTGATTTAAGTTTAAAATTACTTAAAATATAAAAAAATATAATATAAATGCATTTTATTTTTACAATAATGCCAAACCTTTAAAATGACTAGATTAACTTAAATAAATATCCATTGTTAGTATAAAATTGACGCCTTAGAAAAGCATGCGCCTCTGAAGCGTATGGTTATCTTTTACGTACGTTGTCATATGGTTATCTTTCTAGGGTTAACGAAGCCATGGCATAGTCGTGGAATGCTTCCATTTTTCTGAGAATTATATCTAATTTATCGAATATACCAATAATTTTTCTTAAAATCATTAGAGCAATTACGGGTTAAAACCTCACATCGCTTTCATCGTAATTTGCAGAGTGGTAAGTGAATCTGCTGAAAAGAGTTCGACGTGGATAAAAAAACTGTTGGATCATCGGCAATGCACTTTATAATGTAGCGATCGACACCTGATCCTCTACGGAGGACACACTCGCCCGAGTGTTACATTTTTCCATGATAAAGTTAAGTGCGGGTATCGTAAAAATGTATAATGAGATATGTTAAATAGTAAAATGTTTAAAGAAGAAATCAATATGGTACGAACTCAGAATCGAATAATCAACAAACATGAAAGCCGAAATTGTGAATCCTTGTTACGTAAAGTGGAACGTGGAATGCGCTAAAGTTTCACGTAACGCAGTTTGACAAACGAAATTCTACTACCGCGTCATTGAAACCTAAACTCTGCCCTACGATTATCCGTTTCGCAAGGATTAATATAACTCTTCCGATTCCAGCAACTAATTGTGAAACACGTCATTGCCTGCTTTCATAGCCCCGCGGTCCGATAGTCATCGACTTCGACAATCAAAAGCGCATAATCGACTCGAAAAAAGATCACGCGATCAGAAATATCGCTGATATTAATGTCTCGTCCTTAAGGACCAGATGTTCATCGTCGACGTAGATTTTCGTCCTAATGTATTTACCAATGCACTCATATTAATCTCGGATTACTTTACACGTGTTTATATCATCGCGAATTAAATACGGTTTCATTGATTCTTCAACTTCCATTCAATAAAGCCTCCGCGGAATGCGCTTAATTAAAAATCCTGGTATTTCAATAATACCCGTGCTTGTGCAAAAGGAATTTAATATGCGATACTCAGATTTCCACAGCTGGGGCGCTGTCCTGCCGAGAAGATGCGAAGAAAAAAATAAACAACGTCGTACTAATTCTTCTTAGAAATATCGAAGGTACGAGTTGAGATCGCATAAATGTGTCGACGATTCCAATGGATAAATATCACAAGTCGATTGTCCAAATATCAGCCATGTTAAAACGTGTACACAAAAATATAAACACCGACAAAGCACCAAAGCAGCGTCTTTGTCAAATCCTAACAATACCAACAAGAACTTAAAATAATCGGATACAGAACTGCTCATTAGGATATCCTCTATTATGAAACCTCGATCACGGATTATAAAAATTATATACATCATCAAAATGATAAGGCGTCTTCGTCGAGCCTCGTCGATGCCAAAAAGAGTTCTAAAAGATCGAAAAATGCATTCGTTACAAAATCCTCCATTCCAAAACTTCGTGGTTAAGGATAAAAAAGATATACACGTCGACAAAACAATAAGGCGTCTTCGTCGATCCTCGTCGATGCCAAAAAAAGTTCTAAAAGATCGAAAAATCAAAATTTGTATTCGTTACAAAATCGTCCATTCCAAAACTTCGAGGTTAAGGATAAAAAAATATACACGTCGACAAAACAATAAGGCGTCTTCGTCGAACCTCGCCGACCGTAAAATGAATTCGTTAAAATATCCTCTATTCTAATATCTCGAATCAGAAAAGTCAAACACATGAACGGAGCACATAAAAACCAAAAATAACAAAGAGGACGATCTCGGGATTAAAATAATGAAGACGATCTCGGGAATAAAATAATGAAGACGATCTCGGGAATAAAATAATTAAGACGATCTTGGGAATAAAATAATGAAGACGATCTCGGGAATAAAATAATGAAAACGATCTCGGGAATAAAATAATGAAGACGATCACGGGAATAAAATTATGAAGACGATCATGGGAATAAAATAATGAAGACGATCATGGGACTAAAATAACGAAGCCGATCTCAGGAATAAAATGCTGAAGACGATCGCGTGAATAAAATAGCTACGTACCCGAGTTCGCAATAATTCCCGAAAAGCCGGTAGCCGGGCTGGTTGGACAGTCAGCTGTCCGTAGCTTCACCACTCGAGCACCATGTATCGCGATCGTATTTGTGATACCGAACACGGTCGAATAGACGGGACGACGATGTCCCGTGAGCACATGAGAACCACAAAACATCCACGGAGCACAACGGCACACGTCGACTCTGTACTCGGGATCGAGACGATCGAGGGGGCAGGGGACGCTGCGGCACGTTCGTTCTCGACGGCGGCCGGTGGCGAACTACCCTTCGTAACGCGCGCGCCACCGTCTGAAGCGCGTCGCCGGCTCCGGTGTCGCGGAGGAAGGGACGATCCGCCGGTATCTTTTTGTCGCGGGCTTTCTTCGAGGTAAACGCGCGTGAAATCGTGATCGCGTATGGTTCATTGGGCCGGGGGTGTTCGTGGCTCGTTAGCGCCGCCGAGATCGATCATATATCGTAATTAACATGTCCGCGGCCCTTTGCCTCGCGGCCCTTGCCACGAGGGGAAACTTTATTAGCTGTACGCACGTGGTTGGTGTAAGTTTATTATCTCTGTATCTGTGCTCGCGAGTAAGCAGATACCCGGCGCTGCAAATTGAAACGAGGTTGTCTCGGACATTATTCGAAGCAACGTGTTATTTCGTGTTTCAGAATTGTTTCCATGCCTGTGATCATTTTCGAAATGACATTGTTCCGAGATAGCATTGCAAATTGCGTGTCGGTTTTGTTTAATAACTGTTTCCATGCCTGTGGCCGCTTTCGGCGTGACATTGTGAGAGCGTTCAACACGCACTCGAACGGCGGAACTTTCGAACGAAAGTATAACCGAGTATGTTTAGGATCGTCCATCATTTTATTTAAATATAAATATAAAAAAATAAAATAAAATGAATATACAAAAATATAAATATTTTTCAATATAATTTTTTAGGTGTATCAATTGTTCAATTTTATGATTAATATTGTTAGTAATGTATTTCTATGAACGAAAAGCATTGAAAATAATGATTCGTAATGGATTGTTTCAAATAGCTGTTTCATACTTTCGTTTCGAATAAAATTTGCCAAGATCTGCGGGAAAGAAAGTCGCACGTCACGTGTTATCACCTTTGGGATATTATCGCTTAAGACTGGTTCAGATGCAGACAGTAATCTAGTAGAGTGGCGAGTAATTTAGTAATGTATTGTGAATGTGAACAGTAGGATTTAGCCGAGTAAGACACTACACCAATTCTGTCGAGTAGATAGGTTTCGATGGATTCTTCTACATAGTATGGTATACTTTTTCCATCACTAACGCAACACAAAAATTGTCTACATTAATAATTACACAAAAGAAGATTAAAATGTATTTACTTAATTAATTAAAAATGTATTTCTTCATCCAACAGTTTTGGTAAATTGGGAATAGTCTGATCCTTAAATTCTCTCGATGTTTTCACTGTTCTTTATTTCACACACATTTTCAAATAACTGCATAAAAGCCAGTCGATCAATGTAAGTCAATTAACCTTAAAATTGAAATAGACAAGGATTTTGCGAATTAGTTACAAGAAGATAATAATGCCGCTAACAATGCAAAGCACACTTTCATTAGAGTTAAATAAAAATAAAAAATGATATTAAAAAAAAAACATATTTAACTATTTTATTCTACTTATTTTTATCTTCCGTTATTCTTTTTCCATTTTGTAAAGTCATCTATAAAGTCATTCCTATGATGAAATTATATTCGCACTGCATAACTCATTTTCAGAGAAAACTGGACTCGCACGGACTGGCTTCTAAACCGTCCACATCTCCAGTCAAATATTTTTCTCCTTCACCTTTCCGCTTCACCTTACGGACACCCAGTTTCCGAGCAAAGCAAGAACCCCGTAACGCTATCACAAACTTTCTACCATTCTCACGCGGAACAGTCAGTAATTACGCGCAATTCTTGACGAGTCGAAATAATCATGTTTTTATTACACGCTGCATTATGCGTCTAATAATTCCGTTGATGAAACGCTGTTTCGACAGCGGAGTTTCCGGCGTTTCATAAGCAGGAACTTTTATTGCGAGCGTAATTAAAGTTTCGCCGTCGCGGAACGGAGAACGTGCACCGCGACCGAAGAAGTGCATCATACAACGTTGATAACGTTACAGAAATTTCTCTGGAACCGGCTGAACAAGCCACTGCAGTTTAATGCAGGCACACGTGCAATAACGATTACGATGATCATACAGCGTCTAGGAAGCGTTCGTACATAGTTCTATGGCCAACTGAAGCATTCCTGGCCCGCAGAATTAACTGCAGTTAAATTGTCCCCGCTGCTAATAATTTCCGGTGTTCTTTGTCACGTATTACATGCTTCGCCATGAGTTACGCCGTTCTTGGCCCGTCGCCATTCTACAGATTCTCGTCGTTAAATTGTTGCTAAACGTTTCAGACGAGCAATTATTAATTGCTGATCCGCGTCGCGCAGGATGCTTTCTACGACTACTTCAAAGGGCGACCGAACTAATTTAGAGCGCTGTTGTGTTTATTACGAATAATGTACGAAACGATCCCAGCAAACAGTTAACAGTTAGCAAACAGTTAACAGTTAGCAAACGGTTAATTCGTTCCGCGAAACTCGATCACCGGAGTCTGACAAATTCGTCGACTTCTGATAACCTTAATCGACGCTGATTCGATATTTGCCGGAAAGTGCGTGTCTTCGGTTTCCCGACGATCGCATCGCACGAACGACGATTATGAAAACTGAACGATACGCAGCGTAAATGGAAACTTCAAGCTTTCAAATGAGTCCACGTTCACGTTTGTGCAACACGCTTTCACGTGATTGTAACAGTTCGAATTTCGACAATTTGCGAATAATCGGCAATACAATGCGGAAACGTTTTTCACGCTGACTGTAGCTGCAACTTTCCATCCAGAGCCTACGCCGCGAAACCTGTACTGAAACCGAAGCTAAAAACTCGATCCGAAAACTGGCAACTGTCTGACCGAGTCTGATAAAAGTCTACCGCAGCGCGCGCTTTGTTCGGACCAAAGTGAAATTCGCTTTAAACTCGGCTAGACTCGGGGGCTCGTCGAGCAAAAATAATCGAGCGGCACTAAACATAATCGTTGCTTATGCTCCCGGAGGAATAAACCGTGTACGAAACGACTCTGAAATGTACACACGCTTCGGGTGAACACTCTCCATAATTTTATGCGATCCTTCGAATGCACGGGCATCGCTGTGCGTTATACGTGCCCATAATAACTTTACGTTATGCGATGCGCTCCTATACGGCGTTCTGTTCGAGAGACGTTCGATAAACATTGACGAGAAGAGGAACAACGATGGAATTTATGCCGGTGCCTAAAAGCATTTCGCGTTTCATTCCATCGTACGGATGCAGTCTGCGCGGACGCACACAGACATCCGTGCACACGGAGCTCGCAGCGGGCAACACGCGCGGGCGCGAACGAATGCGCCCGGAATCGTTGTATATAATTGTGTTATAATAGCTAACGCAGGTGTCGGCTCGTTAAATTGTTAATACATTGCCGCGCGAGACTCGCCGAAATTTCGACGATTAATGCTGTACCGTCGCCCCGAAATTGCCTTGGATGTGACACTTTCATTTTCACGAGTCACGGAAACGACGTTCAACAACTTGTGCCGCTACGACGGCACCGAGCATCGCACGAATTAATCAATTACGCCGGCGGGATCGATGCTTTGCATCGCGTTCGGCTGAACTACGATGACACTTTACGTGGGCGAACCCGATCGTGCGGAGAACTTGCCGCGATACGTAACGTTCAAACTGTTATCCGGATTATGTGTTCCGAAAAGATAGAACGTCTTTTGTTTTTTGGAACGGTGGATCTCACTAAAATTCGAATCAAAATACATCAAACATTGTTTCCGTTGCGTTCATGGTTATTGCACTTCGTATAATGTTTCCTTAAAAGATTTCTCTAATAATAATTCTGATAAATTTCTAATAATTTCTATGTATTACACTTTTCTATTATTAAGAGAACATGGAAACACAGCGTTCAATTTACATATCAGTTTCCAAGCAAAAAGAAAGCGAAAAAGAAGACGAAAGGAAGCGCTGTAAATTGAGCGTAAATTGAACGCTGTGTTTCCATGTTCTCTTAATAATAGAAAAGTGTAATACATAGAAATTATTAGAAATTTATCAGAATTATTATTAGAGAAATCTTTTAAGGAAACATTATACGAAGTGCAATAACCATGAACGCAACGGAAACAATGTTTGATGTATCTTGATTCGAATTTTAGTGAAATTTCTATGCTAGAAATGCAGGTTGCACGATTCGCGAATACGACAAGTTAGAGAAAATTCGCGCTATCAATTAGACAATGCATTCGGTTAGTAATGACAGAGAAGCTCGATTCATTTTTGTTGAATTATTCGTTCTATCGGGCTGCACTCGCGCGCACACGTTTCGATGCATGAAATTTGCAATCTAGTAATCGGCCTGAGCAATTTCGAGCGATAAATATGTCTAGAATAAACAGATTATAACCAATCCGATTTTGTCAACCTGTTGCGCACTTTTGTTACGGCCCGTAAGTAAAGAATTTTGATCTTTTTTTATGACACCCCCACCCCCCGTATCACACTTTTTGGTATTCAAACTTCACCGACTCATTTGTCGCGGATTTTGCCCGCGTGTCTACGCTCGCCGTTCGAACTGTGCGTCGCTAATTGAATCGTATCGATGTACGAACGAAACTCTTTCCCCGGGGCTGCATACTAATTACGTGGTTAGGTTACAAATTAACGAGCAGCGTGTGAAATAACAGAGATTATAGTAATAATTCTTCTACACGGTCAATATTATTACAATCTCTCAACCGCCCGACGCAAACGTCTAATGATAATTAATCGCCGAGGAATGTTGAGAATAATTAATCGCTCGGAAGTAATTAATTGTGCGGGATGATAAAATAAACATGATCGAGCAGTGATTTATCATCTAGCCGCGCCGCCGGGGAAAGTCCGAGATAAGCTCAACGAAAAATCCATTCTGGCCGTGCTTGCGAAGTAAACTACACAGATGTACCTTTCGCCGAAGAACAAACTTTCGAGGGCAATTTATTATTCATTCTTTCTAATTAAGACAAAAACGCGCTCCTCTTATCCCTCGTAATTCGAAGAAATTGTTAAACTGTATCCTGAAACGTGGAAGCGCCGCAATCGCTTAACAATTGATTAAAATTAAAACGTTTCGTC